TTCAATAGGAGCTCTGGTAGCGTAGTGGTTACGAATTGAACTGTGAACCTTAAGGTCAGCGGTTCGAAACTACCAGCCGCTCCACAGGAGAATGATGAGGCTTTCTACTCCCGTAAAGATTTACACCCTTGGAAACCCTGTACAGGGTCGTTATGGGTTGGAACCGACTCGATGGCACTTAACAACAACAACATTATCTTTCAATATACTGAAACATGATGACTAACACCAGAATACTGTCAGATACAGTGCCAGAAAACGAGTCCCTCAGGTTAGAAGCCACTCAAAATACAACTAGGGTAGAGCTGCGTCCTAAAAATAGTGTTGACTGTGATGATGTAAATGGACTGAAGTTTTAGGGGACCTTCATTTGCTGATGTGGCACGACTCAAAATGAGGTGAAAAAGGTATAAACATCCATTAATAATTGAAATATATGAAGTATTAATTTAGGAAAATTAGAAGTTGTCAAAAATGAAATGCAGCACATAAACACTGATATCCTAGACGTTAGTGAGCTGAAATGGACTGGTATTGATCATTTTGAATCTGACAGTCACATGGTTTACTATGATGGAATGACAAATTGAAGAGGAATGGCATCGTATTCACCATCAAAAAGAACATTTCAAGATCTTAAAGTAAAATGCTCTCTGTGATAGGAAAGTGTTATTATGACTACAAGGAAGACCAGTTAACACCACTATTATTCCAATTTTTGCACCAACCACTAAAGTCAATGATGATGAAATTGAAGAATTCTAGCAGCTTCTTTAGTATGAAATCGATCAAACATGCAGTCAAGATGTATTGATAGTTACTGGCGATTGGAATGCAAAGTTTGGAAACAAAGAGGAAAGATCAATGGTTAGAACATAATAATACAAAAGGCAGCTATACACATGGAAACCCTATACAGGGTCACTATGGGTCAGAATTGACTCAATGGTACTTAACTATAGCAACAACATACACATAAAGCTCACCAGATGCAATACACAGGAATCAAACTGACTATATCTGTGGGAAGAGACAGTAGAACAAGCTCAATATAACCAAAGCAAGGCCATGTGCAGACTGTGGAACAGACCATCAATTGCTCATATCCAAGTTCAGGTTGAAGCTGAAGAAAATTACAATAAGTTCTATGAGAGCCAAAATACAACCTAAAACATATCCCACCTATATTTAGAGACTAAATACAGAGTGGATGCATTAAATACTAATGACTGAAGACCAGAAGAACTGTGGAATGACATCAAGATCATATAGGAAGAAAGCAAAAGGCTATTAAAAAGACAATATATAAGAAAAGACCAAAATGGATGTCCGAAAAGACTCTTAAATTTGCTTTACGGTATAAAGATGCTAATGCAAATGGAAAAAATGAAGAAATCAAAGAGATAAATAATTTCAGAAGGCAGCTCAAGAAGACGAAGTCAGGTATTATAATGAAATGTGCAAAGACCTGGAGTTAGAAAACCAAAAGAAAAGAACATGCTAGGTGTTTGTTAAGTTGAAAGAATTAAAGAAAAAGAAGGTAAGCTTCAACTTGCAATATTGTCCTGGTGTGGCACATTGGGATAATGTGCTGGACTACAAGGTCAGTTTGAACTGTAATGTTGGTGGTTCAAATCCACCAGCCACTTCTCAGAAACCCTACATAGGGTTGTTATTGGTCGGTACTGACTTGATGGCATGTAACAACAACAATATCATAGGTAAATTATGTAAAGGAAGCAGTAAAAGAAGCTGGAAGGAATTCATAAGTCACTAGACCACAGAAAGAAATTATCAACGCTCAACCATTTCAAGAAGTAACATATAATCAAGAAATGATGGTACTGAAGGAAGAGGTCCAAGTTAAATTGAAATTATTGGTGACAAAAAGGTGCCAGGAATATATGGAATACAACCTTACAAACTGAAATATTTCAACAAACTGAAGGCACTTACTCATCTATGCCAAGAAGTTTGGAAGACAGCTACCTGGCCAACTAACTGGAAGGGATCTATATTTGTGCCCATTCCAAAGAAAGGTAACCTGTATTTGTGCCCGTTCCAAGAGAAGAATGTGGAAATCATCTAACAACATTATTAATATCACATGCAAGTAAAGTTTTACTCAAGATAATTTAAAAATGGCTGCAACAATATTTTGATAGGGAACTGCCCAAAACTCAAGCCAGATTCAGACGAGGATGTAGAATAAGGGATAACATTGCTGGCATCAGATAGATCTTGGCTAAAAGTAGAGAATACCAGAAAGATATTTACTTGTGCTTTACTGACTATGGAAATGTTTTTGACTGTATGGGTCATGATAAACTCAAGACAACATTGCAAAGAACAGGTATTTCAGAACACTTGATTGTGCACTTAAGAAGTACACAGACCAAGAGGCAGTTATTTGAACATAACATAGGTACAATGAGTAGTTGAAAATCAAGAAAGGTATGTGCCAGGGTTTTTCCTTTCACCATACTTATTCAATCTGTATGCTGTACAAATATCCTCAAAAAGTTGATTATATGAAGAAGAAAGGGCATCAGGATTGGAGGAAGACTCATTAACAATCTGTGATATGACACAACTTGGCTTGCTGGAAGCAAAGAGGTCTTAAAATACTTTCTGATGAATATCAAAGATCTCAGCCTTTAGTATGAATCGCACCTCAAAGTACAGAAAGCAAAAATTCTCACCATTGGGCCAATAAATAGCATCATGATAAATAGAGAAAATATTGAAGTTGTCAAAATCTTCATTTTGCTTGAATTCACAATCAACACTCAGGGAAACAGCAGCCATGAAATCAAATGATGTATTGCAGTAGGTAAATCTGCTGCATGAGACCTCTTTAAAGTGTTCAAGAGCAAAAACATCAGTTTAAGGACTAAGGTGCACTTGACCCAAGCCATGGTATTTTCAATAGCCTCATGTGTGTGTACAATTTGGACAATGAATAAGGAAGACCACAGAAGAATTGATGCATTTGGGTTATGGTGTGGAAAAACAATACTGAAAGTACCATGGACTGACAAGAAGAACAAACAGATCTGTCTTGGAAGAGATGCAGCCAAAATACTCTTTAGAAGCCAGGATGGTGAGACTTCATCTCTCATGCATCATGAATATCATGGCAATGTGGAGCATCAGTGAAAAAGAGGAAGACTGCCAACAAGATGGACTGGCATAGTGGCAGCAGCAATAATTGTAACAATGGTGCAAGACTGGGCAGTAAGGAGTGGTTGGTGGATTTGAACTACCAGCCTTGTAACTAGCAGTCCAATACTTATCCTACAGAGCCGTACCAGGACCTAATTTGACAGTTTCCAATAATAGCCACAAAGTCAATTTGAACTGTAAGGTTCGCAGTTGAAACCCACCAGTCGTTCCTTGTAAAACCTTGTAAAATACAGGGTTGCTATGAGTCGGAAATGACTCAATGGCACTTACCAACAACATAAAATATAGGGGTCCTGATGTGGTGCTGTAAGATAAGCATTGACCTACTAACTGAAAGGTTAGTTGTTCAAACCCACCAGCCACTCCTCAGAAACTATATATAGATTCACTATGAGTGGAACTGACTTGACAGCATTTAACACCAGCACAAAAAATCAAATAGGAGCCTCGGTGGCACTGTAGTATACACACAGAATTGCTAACCGCAGGTCAGCAGTTCAAGCCCACCTGCTGAAAACCCTATTGTTGGTGCTGTTGTTAAGTGTCATCAAGTCAGTGGAGCAAAATACAAATCTTGCCTTAAAGTATCTTTGGAAAGCCTCTGAAAGCATTCACAATAGGGACGCCTTCAAGACCAGATTATTCAACCTTTTCAAAACCAAATTATTTTCTGCTTTAAAGTTTTCATTGAAATCATGTGTTTTCAGTAATGGAAGACATTTTGAATGAAACTAAAAATGTTTTTGAAGTAATATGGATTTTGATACAATTGTTGTTGTGTGTCATTGAATCAGTTCTGACTCATAACAACCCTATATAGGGTTTTCAAAGAGCTACTAGTGAGTTTGAACTACCAACCCTGTGGTTAGCAGTACAGAGCTTATCTTACAGTATGAAACATATGTTCCAATGTGTCTCTGGTGCTAAAGTTAGTGGAATGATTCCCATAGTTATACAGGCCCCCTTCAGATGGCAGCATGAACAAAAGTGGGATAACAGTTTCCCACTAAACCCCAGAGGCAGAAAATAAATGTAAGTAGGTACTGTACATCTCATGGTCATGAATGGTTGAAAAATGTCACCATTTAAAAATATTTTATTTGCAAATAATTATTTTGGAAAAGGATCTAGGGTGCTACCCACATCCTCAAATGTTAAGAAAATTAAACATTTTTGATGAAATATAAATATTTTAAATACAGCATTGCTGTTTTGAAGTGCCGTTGAGTTTTGAAGTGCATTGAGTTATCTTTAACTCATAGCAACCCTCTATGGGGTTTCCACGGAGCAGCTGGTAGATTTGAATTATCAACCTTTTAGTTAGCAGTCTTGCACTCCTACTATGCTACATTGGAACTCTTTTATAACACATAGAAAAACTTAAACTTTTTTTTTTATCTGTACTACTCCAAATTTAAAAGAAATGCAATATAACTTCTCATGGAGATACTCCAAAAACTTTAGTTGATATTGTCTACAAGAAAAAATTAAAAGACACAGTAGAGAAGAAAATTATTCCACAGAAGCAAAGTATATTATAGACATTTAAGTCCATGCATTATAACTAAATTTTCCCTATTCATTATTAAATTATATAGTCAGGGATTGTTAGCTTAACAAGAATGAAGATGGCTACTTCTGCATGCACTAAATATTTTCTTAATGTAGAGAATTTTGCTTTGATTTACGATTATAAGGAAGATTCGTGAATTCTGACATTCAGGTCAGCAGATGAAGAAATAGTACTTGCCCTCAAGATTTGTACATTATAGTCTACCTCCCTTCCTCCCAAGCCTGAAACACAAACATCTTACCAACTACAGCCTCAGTGTATTTCCCATCTGCTGGGAGAGGGAAATACTGATTTGGTGACATATTGCTTCCATATCCCAGGAGAAAACCTTCAAGCTTTACATTTGGATTTGGACGCAGGAACTTCAAGAAGATGGAGTCACTCGTGGTGTTGATGTGGACTTTTAGGCTTGGCCTTTTTCCTAAAGATGGAGAAGAATAAATAAGTAGTTGTTACTTCACCTTTTTGATATCCCAGGACAAGTTTGGAGCATAGATTTCCCTGGTGACACAGATAAGTGTTCAAGCACGAAATGAAAGGTTGGCATTTCAAAGTGGAGCCCATCCAGATGCACCTAGAAAGAAAGGCTTGGTGATCTGCTTCTGATCCTACAGAGCTTATTCTACTCGGCACTTAAATTTGCCTGAGTCAGATTCTAATTGATTTTGTTGTTATTTTACTTTTTTATCAACCCAGGGCAAATATAGAGCAAAGGTTAGTTGTTAGAGAAGGCACTGTTTTTGATAAGCACCTAATCTACATAGCTACTCAAAATACAACACATACCCAAATGGCCAAAGTAAATCTAATTTTGAGATAAAATGAAATGGACTTATATTACAAATATCTTGTCATTTCACTGATGGGTTGTTGTTAAGTGCTGTCAAGTCGATTCTGATCCACAGTGATAACCCTGTATAGGGTTTCTGAGGAACAGCTGGTGAACTTAAACCACTCATCTTGCCATTCAAATAGAGTTTGTAGCCCACAGCACCATATAGACCTTAAGGCTATTCACAACTTTTCAGAACCTTTAGTTTTTACAAGGAGTCTGGAGGCTCAATGGTTAAGAGCTTGACTGCTTACCAAAAGGTTAGCAATTTGAATCTACCAGCCACTGTATTGGAGAACTATGTGGTAGTCTGCTTTTATAAAGATTATAAACATGGAAACTCTATGGGGCAATTCTAATATGCCAGTTGGGTTACTATTAGTGAAGATTGACTTGATGTCAACATGTTTGGTTTTCTTGGTTTGGGTTTTGATTTCACTTTATAGGAATGGTGAAAGGCTCTGAAATTTCTTATTGGTAAAACTGAATTACTGCACTTGAAAACTCCCACCTACTCTATGCTCCTCTTAACCCCACCTTCATGGAACTCTGACTGTTGCAGTTGGAAAGGGAAGGAAGAGGAAAATGGGAGACTAGGGAATGCTGAATGAGAAGGGTAGAGTGAAAAGATGTTTAATTCCACATGGAAATTGCCAGGTCAGTCAGACTAGCACATGAAGATGCCTAACAGTCCATTGAGTGTCTAAATGCAGAACTTAGGAATGGGGTAATTAGTTTACGTAGATAAATGTATGAATTTTTCCAAAGAGACAGAGATTGTGCAGAGGGTACAGAGAGGCCTTAGTTATGCTTTCCAGTCCTTGAATTTATTTATTTCTAGCCATATAAGAGGGGTAACTAACCAAAGATCTTAACTTAGTTGTGAGGAAGCAATATGTTGTTTTTTGTTTTGTTTTGTTTTGTTTTTGTCTTTGGAGGCAAATCACAGCCCTACTACTTACTTAGGTACAGTGTGACCTCTGGCAACTCAGGAACATGCTTGAGCCTTAGTTTCCCTATTAATTAATGGTTAATCACAATATCTACCTTGCCAGGTTGTCCACAGAGATTAGTGCAAATGATATTAATAATATTTGCTCAGTAATTAGTTATTGACTCTTTAGCCATAATTTTAAAAATCCAGAAAGCTTTGTATGTTTTTATGTGTCAAACTAATTTAACACCAAAATCATACATGATCCAACATCAAATGGCCGAGTTTATGGTTGACAGTCCAGAGCTTATCCTACAGTGCCACACCAAGACTCCATGGTTTATTTAGTCTGGGTCAAAAGAATCTTCTCTCATTTTGCAATACAAAAGTGGGCTTCAAAAAGTTTGTGGAAAAAATCCATACCTCTTAATTCCATGAACTTTTTTAAGTCCCTTCAAACAAGACCTGCTGTTTGCTCACTTTACTCACCCTTACATGGATTCCTGCTATTCTTGGTTTGTCTTCATTAGTGAATATGGTGACTTTTTGGTAGGTAACTTAAGGTTGTTGTTGCTGTTATGTACTGTCAAGTTGGTTCTTACTGACTGCAACCCTGAACTAGGGTTTCCTAGAAGTGGCTGGTAGTTTTGAACACTGACCTTGTGGTAAGCAGTCTACTGCCTTTTAAATAGTAAACACATGCCCTGCAGCTTTAAACAATAACAAATAAGATGGAGAGGTTATAACATCAGGGGAAAATGGTAGGATAGCATTGCAAGATCAAATTACTCTTTACAACCACTAGAGATAAGTTGCGATTGTTGCTATAAACCCAGTTACTGGACATACACTTAATGTCCACCCTAGAATTTTGAGAATACAAGAATGTCTGGAAATACTGAAAGATAACCTCTCCCCCATTAAAAAATATATATATATTATCAAGATATGGGAGTCCCGGTGTGGCATTATAAGATAATGTACTGGACCACAAGGTCGGCGGTTTACACTCAACAGCCACTCATCAGAAACCATACACATAGTGATGAGTCTGAACTGACTCAATAGCACTTAACAGCAACAACTAGATATGGTGGCAGTGTGGTCTCTGTAGGATAAGCATTGGACTTCGAACCACAAGATTGGCTGTTAGAACCCACCAGCCAATCCACAGAAGAAAGATAAGGTTTACTGCTCCTTCATATAATTCCAACCTCACAAATCCTATATAAGTCACTACGAGTTGTAACAGACTCTACAGAAGTTAACAACAGCAAAAACAACATAGATACAGCTCTCCAAGTATTGTGACCATGGCCCATAGTGTAAAATACCCTTAATATTTAAGTCTTGTGTAGACTCATAGGATAAACAGTCAACCTCAAGGCTGGTATGAACTGCAAGGTCAGCAGTTCAAACTCACCAGCCATTCCTCAGAAACCCTGTACAGGGTCACTGTGAGTTAGATCAGACTCAAAGGCACTTGACAACAACAACAAAGTCTCTGTGTATCTATGTCTGGGGTTCATAGATGGCACAAACAATTTACACTCCAGATTACTAACCTAAAAGTTGGTGATTCAGAACCATCCAGCAGTAACCACAGAAGAAAAATCATAGTGGTCTACTTCTGTTAAGACCCCTGCAGCCAGTGAGTCAATTCCAACTCATAGCAATCCTAAAGAGACAAAGTGGTTTCCGAGGCTTTACATTTTTACAGAAACAGACTGCCTCATCTTTCTCCCAAGGAGTGGTTTATGGGTTCAAACCACCATCCTTTAGGTAAACAACTCAACCCTTAACTGGTGCAGTTCTACTGTATAACACAAGGCAATGCTGTGGGTCTCAATCATTTGGACAACAACATCTACATCAGTATCTATATCTATGTCTGGAAAAAGTTTTTACAAAGGCAAACTTATTCGTTCTACGTGTGCTACATTCTAATATTTTCTATGGTATTTCATTTTTTCTCTAAATGTTGATTGCCACCCCATACACTGGTTCACAGTACAGAAAACAGGTCATGACTGACAGTTTGAAAAACACTGACTTAAATTTCTTCAAGGTAGTAGAGAAACTCACTTTTAATACAAATATATACATAAGCTGAAAGTAAAAAGATGGAAAACTATATATCTTATAAACGCTCATCATAAAAATCTGGGATGAAAAAATATTAGTTATAAGTTGAAATGGTTATATTAATATCAGAACAAGGAATAGTACCGAGTTTAAATATGGACATTATGTAATGACGACTCGTCAAGAAGACATTACAATCCTAAATGTGTGTTCATCTAACAGCATTCCAAAATTCATGAAGCAAATAATTGAAAGATCTGAAAAGAGAAAGAGATAAATCTACAATTGATGTTGCCAATTTCAACATATCTTTATCAGTGACTGACAGAAAAAGTACACAGAGAATCTGTAAACTCAAACATTACCAAGAAACTTGAATTACTTGACAGTATTAGGGCATATCAGCTAACATCAAGTGTTTATGGAAAGTTACCAAGATAGAAAATATCCTAGGCCATAAAGCAAGACTTAGGAGTCCTGGTGTGCCACTGCAGGACAATGTGCTGGACTGAAAGATCAATTTGAGCCACAAGGTCACTGGTTCAAGCCCACAAGCCTCTTCTCGGAAACCCTATACAGGGTCACTATGAGTCATAACCAACTCGTCCACACTTAAAAACAACAACAAAGACTTGACAACTCCAAAGTGATTAAAATCACAGAGAAAAAAAAAACACCCAAACTTCAAACACATGAAAATTAACAAAAACAATTTTCTAACTACCCATGGGTCAAGAAAATAATTCACATGGACAATTAGAAAATATTTTAACTGAATGAAAATGAATATGTAAAATATAAAATCTTGTGAGATACATTCAAAAGAAGACCATAGAGGAAAGAATATAGCATTAAATTCTTTTACAAAAAAGGAAGAAAGATACAATGTCAAAGATTTAAGCTTCTACCCTAAGGAAACAGAGAAAGAGTTATTAAACACAAAATAAATAAAAGAGAAAAAAAGCAAAACTGAAATCAAATGAATAAAAAAAAATAGATAAATGGTAGAGAAAAATTAATGAAAATCTGATACTTTTGAGATCAAATTAATAAATCTCTAACAACTGATAGAAAAAGTATGTCAAAGAGAATACATTAAAATAATTGTCAAAAATGATCAAGAGGACATCACTTCATAATCACTTTATATCACTTATAAGAAAATATTACAGGCAAATTTGTGTCAATAAATTTCACAATCTAGATTGTTGTTGTTTTTAAGTGCCATAGAGTCAGTTTTGACCTAGAGTGACCATAGAATTTCCGAGGATTGGCTGATGAGTTTGAGCCACCGACCTGGCTGTTCAAGCTGACTTTGTTGCCCAGCACATGAATCCACAGTGCATGAATCCACAGTACCACACCAGGAGTTCTACAATCTAGATTAACTGGGCAAATTTCTTGAAAGAAACAAATGAACAAAACTGACACAAGAAGAATAAAAAAACAATAAGCACATTAAATCTAGTACACAGATTCAATTCTACAATTACATTTTTCATCAATGAAATCTGGCTCCATTCCTTTTTTCCCTATTCCTTGCGGAAATAAAATTTATCAAGACCAGAAA